CTGCCGCAGGCCGGGTCCCCCCGGGCTCCCGCTGCCTCGCAGACGTGGATCCGGCGGGGGCTGCTGCAGGGCCGGCGAGGGGGGGATCGCCAACACCCCCCCGGGCAGCACTTGGGAGCCGTGGGTCAATCCTGCCACCCGGACCCCCGCTGCGCTTTTGGGAAGCCCTCCCTCGAGAGCAGGGCCCGTAAGAAATGCCCGCGGGACTTGTATTGTCCTCCCAAACAGGGTCTAAGGAAAGAGACCGTCCACTGAACAACATCAGCCCCTCCCCGGGTGGATCAGACCTCGCAGGCAGAGCCCCACTGAGTTGTGCAGAGGAAACGGGGCTCTGTGGCTTTCGAGTACATGAGTGCAGTGCCTCCATTGCCCCTTCTCCCTCTAATAGACACTAGGACTCGTTTCCAGAAGCATCAAGGATGAGGCAGTAACAGCATCCATTTTAGACACTTAGCCTCAGTGGTATCAGTTTTCTGGCTTTGGGAAACCACTTGGTAATTACCAGCTGTCAGAAAATAGCTGCCAGTGGGTATTTTTAGTTGCCATCACAAATGCACCTTTAAAAAGTCAATGGAAAGCTCTTTTAAAAAACAAAACAAAACACTTTCCATGAATTTACCTAGGTTAGACGATATTCAAAAAGAAAAGGGTCACTCTTTCCTGGCATATTTTTAAATACAATGGGTGCATCTACACAAGACGCTTCAAACGCATTAAGCTAAATCTGCACGTCGGCGCGGTGGGCAAATCCCGTGCCAATACACGGTAGGTTTAGTCTGAGGATTAACATCACTTAAAAAGCGTTCATCTGTGCTAATGCACAGCAGTGTCGATTATGGTGCTTTAAGTCGGTCCATCATTACAGGTGCCAAAATTAATGCAACATAATTATGATGCATTAATGAACGTGTAAACAAGCCCCGTGTAAACTAGTCATCCTCTTTGTAATGTATGCTTATGGTGAGTAGTACAGCATTTAAGAACAAATTTGTAGATATTTCATTACTTTTCCCAGTTTGTTTTTAATCTCTTCTAGTGAGAATTGCCATCCTGCATTTAGGTGAGAAAACCTAGGCACTGAAAGACTGTAAATCTGGGCATGTCTCATATTCTGGTTGCCATCTCATTAACTCGTGTCCCTATGGCCAGCCTAGTGTTCAGCCCATGCAGCCACTCTTGGAAGCTTCCCAGGACATACTTTGCTGAAATGGTGCTGTGGAACATGGATGGCCATGTGTGCCACAAGTGGCACCAACAGTTTCTGTGTGGCACGGCAAGCTGGGGAAGGGGAAGGGGAAGGGAGCAGAGCAGCAGATCAGGCAGGGAAAGGGAATCAGAATGGCACTTGAGGAGGACACAGAGCTATTTTGCAGCATAATTGCCAAAAAGTTTCCCCCTCCCTCCACTACTGGAAAGCAAAGTCACTGTGGATTCAGCAACAACAACTTCTAACCTATTTTCAGAGAGCAGCATGGAAAAATCATTTGGACAGTCTCAGCGAATGGAGACGGTAAAGCTTCTCTTTCATCTTAGTCTGGACTTCCTAAGGTAATTTATTTGTCCAGGAGGAATATCTTTGAAGCTTTGGTATACTGGCAAATGTGTAATGGATTTAATTTTCACTACATTCATTTATGTGAGCATTTACTAACAGGGTTTGTCCTTTTGATTGTAAGCTATTAGGGGGGAAAAAACAGCTTCATGTTTGTTTCTTATACAGCACAGAATTCACTGGCAATTAGGGTGCTGAGCTCAGTTCAAAGAGCTGTATAAAATCCCATGGTCTCTTAGGCAACAATTGTGGGGAGGTGGATACAAGCTGCTCAACTTTTCAGTGAGAGAGCAGAGGACCAACAATTCTTGCTTTAGCCACTTGATTTTTCTAACAATCATTTTTCAATTGTTCCACTGCATTTCTTTGTACAGCTACATTCTTGAAAAATGTGACTTTAAGCTAATCCAATTACGTCACAGTAATTACTAGGGCTGTGCAAAGCTTCGGATCACGATTCGGATTTGGAGATGATTCGGAGGCCGAATCTGTGAATCTGAACTGTATCACTGGAAGCTTTAGGCTTTCTGAACCGATTCAGAGCTTCCAAATAGATTTGAAAAAGATTTGGTGATTCAGCCACAGGATATAACAGGGAATCAATTAAATATCTATAACTGCTGTCTTGTGGCTGATTCAAATGAAGCTTGCAGGGATGGTAGCCTCTGCTGAGAGCATGACGCATGCCAAGTGTCAAGGTGATAGGTGCAGGGGTTTCTGGGAAACTGCACCTCAAAATCCTGAAAGCAAAACTCATGTCACATGTGTTTTGAGCCACAGTGGGGTGAAAACTGCAGGAGTGGTAGCTCTTGCTGAGGCCACAAAGCCTGCCAGGTTTCAAGGAGATAGGTGCAGGGGTTTGGGGAAACTGTACCTCAAGCTGTGGACAAGCAAAACTTGTGACCTGGGTGACCCTGTGTGTGTTAAGGTGCAGCAGCGTGAAAGCTGCAGGCATGCTAGCCCCTGCTGAGGCCATGATGTCTGCCAGCTCTCAAGGAGATAGGTGCAGGGGGAGTCTGGGTTCTGGGGCCCAGCACCTCTACCTGCTGACAGGCAAAACTCATGTCATGGGTGCTTGTGCAACTGTGTCTGCCTTGGGGCAGACGCAGTTCCTGGCTCTGTATTGATTCTTTCCTCTCAGTCTGTGGTTTTGTATGTGTTAATCCTTGCTCATTAACTTGTTATCTAGTAGCTAGCTACCTGTATTGAGCTGGTCCCTGAGTGAATCATGATTGATTGGTAACAGTAGCTAGCAAGGTAACGAGTTAATGAGGAAGGATTAACACCTAGAAACCACAAACTAAGGAGAGGAAAGAATCAATACAGACCAGGGAAC